CAAACAAACACAGATAAAGAGACACCTGAAAACAGAAAAGTATATGACAAATGTGAAGAAAGACTGAAGATTCTTTAGTTGCTTGTAATATGTTAACTTCTTTAGCTTCTTAAAGCAATTTAAATAAATAAAGTCACATGAATCCACATATTTTGCTCATGAATGCTTCCTTTTGTGACCTATATGATCGTAGATCACCCTTGTTCGTAAATGACAGAGCTTAACTGAATGGTGTTAAATTTAACTCAATAGATGCTGCATATCTTAGACGTGAACTTTGAAATTATGAGTTTTTAAATGTATGTAATGTGGTAAATATGTAATTACATTATCACATACATAAAAAGCTATAATAATCTAAGCTGGTATATATGCATTCACAAACACACACACAAAGGATGTGCTTACTTTTGACGCCTTTCTTTTCCCAAATCTTTCAGTGTTTACATTTTGATCATCATTCACAGTCCTTCTCAGCTGACTGAAACAGTTGGCAAGCCCTGCACGCCATCTAGCGTCCGACTGTCGGTGTCTCATTTTTCCAATGACATCGTGCGATACTTGAAATTTTCTGCTTTTCACATTAGCCATTTCTGTAAGAAAACAGCTTGATATGTATAGTGGCATATACTTAGGTGTTTACACGCTGTAGCTTATCTTATCCTACTCAGTCAACAGAAAACAAGAAAAACGTTTTTCTTGTTTTTTTATTTTCTCTTCCACAATTTTACTACAATTAGTAAAAAAAAAAAATATCAAACTTGTTAAACTGTGGAAGACAGTCTATGTGATGCACCTACCCATCTACCTTTGAACACTTTCATTGCGAAAAAATCATCAGACTTCTTGAAACTGATTCCATTTAGCAGAGAATAATAAAATCTGAACAATATTCTCTTTTCCTGACGAAGCTTTTCTTATTTGATTCTGATTACTACTCTTATAGTTACTTGGTGGAAACTTGCACCAACATACTACTGCCATACTGAAAGAAATGACTAATAATCATTACAACATTTTGCACTAGCCAGTACACACTACTTAATATGCTAATCAAAGGTTAGTTTTCCTAGTCTTGTTTTCAGTATGATCGCCTGTTGAAAAAGCTACAGGCGAAACGTTGAAAAAAAATATTTACTGTTCACTTTTTTTTTCTTTTTACTAAATATATTTACACTATACGAAGATTAGTGTGAATGGTCAGCGTCTTGAAGGACCAAACTGTTCCTTTTTTCCCCCGTATCTCACGTATATTTATTTTCACAGATAAAGAGACGCCTGAAACCAGAAAAGTATATGACAAGTGCAAAGAAAGATAGTTTGTAACATGTTAACCTCTCTTGCATATTCTTTGCAAGTTTGTACCAATTTTTTAACAAATCCATATCTAATATTTTGACTAAATTGAACTGTCAATTACGTGATACTGAAGCAACCATTTTTAAATCATAATAACACACCCATTCGAGTGTCTAAACAGTATCCTAATGAACGAAACGTAAGTTTTAACTGCGCACTGTAGAGGCACCCAATCATTCGAATCTAAACTTCAAACTTAATCGTTAACTATTACGTCACGAATACGTCATAGGATATGTATCTCTAGCATGAGGCCTTAGCTAAGCTAGTACTTAATAACTACGTATTTAACATATTTTTTGTAAGTGTGAACCGATTTTTTAATAAATGAATATTAATATTTTGACTAAAATGAACTGTCAAGTAGCGATACTGACTTTAAGAATGTATATGTGAAAGAATCGTCATTACTGCAAAGGAGTTTTAGTAGAAATATAAATCTAAACAAGTTGATTCATAATTTACTGTCCTCCAACGGTAAATCTGAGGGCTCGAAGCTAAAAATCAGGTTTCGATACCCATGGTGGGCAAAACAAAGATGGCCCATTGTGTAAGTTTGGGCTCCACAACAAATAACTTATTATACTATAGGTACCAAAAACATAAAAATTCCGAACCATTTTGTGATTCGTAATACGAACTATTCTATTTATAGTAAACAAAATAAACTACCGATTGTTACGTATTAGAATTTTGAATAGTCCGAAGCCGAGTAAACTGATAATTTAAATTTAGTAATGAAATGGTACTTTGGATTTATTATTTAAATATATGCCTATATATTAGTCAATTTACGATATTTGCCAACAAGATTGATACACACCGTCTTCGTTTTTAACACAAATACGTTTTAATATAAACACAACAATACAACCTACAGTAACAATTATTACAAATAGTTATTACATACAAAGATTTATAAACAAAAGTTTCACAAACAATATAAACTCTTCTTTCTAGTTTGGAACTCCCTTGATATTTTATCGCGAGTTTACGATGAGCGAGTTAATTACGATTTGATCTAATTACGATTCGCCAGGAAGCTAGCTCGCTTTGCCCTTGACGACACACGCTAGGTTTTCCACCGTTGAAGTTAGGTAATGTTTTCGTAAAACTACTAATGTCGGACGAGAATCCACTGAAGTTATATAATTTGTAATGTTTGAACTTTGTAAAGGTTCCTGGTCAAATATCTGAAGTCTTCCGATTGATACGCGTTATAAAAATTTATATGTCTTCGTAAAATTAGTAATGTCCAATGAGAATCCACTGAAGTTAAATGATTTGTAACATTCGAAATTTATAAATATTCCTGACCAGATATCTTAAGTTTTCCGATTGATACGCGTTATAAAAATCACAGTTATAGCTTTCGAAGTTTATAGCACAGTGATTATAGCGAACTACTAACAGACACACTCTTTGGCGAGTCCCGTTGGTTGAATTTATAGGCGTGGGAAGGTTTTCTAGAAAATTCAGTATACATAACAATACTGAGCTACATTTAAACGTATATTGCTGATTCTTACTCTCTAGAATCTTCAACAACTTTGGAGAATAGGCGGGAGTTTCGCCATAGATATCTAACAATATAAGCTAGGCATATTTTTAAATATAAACGCAATCCAAACAAACCTTGACATTAAAATAAATATATAAGCACAAATTCGTTACACGGTACACTGGTAATACAGTACATTCATTCTAAAAAAATTCTATATTGAGCTTTAAAATTGATAATAAACTTGGGGAAATAAAAAAAATATGTAGTTTTTAATTTTAATAATATTACTAACATATGAAACAATTTGTAACGTTTAACTTTAAAAGGTAAGTAGTGTATTTCATTTTCTAATTTTTGGTAATGAAGCATTATAGTTAAACGCATTAAAACAAATTTAAAAATAAGAAGGCTAAATTAACTTTAGCTTTAGACTGTATCAGTGTATGTTGATTTTTCACTATTAAATCTTTAAAGTTAAAATACATGGGTACGACGCAAACTTACTTTTAAATATTATAAAATATTAAATATTAAATTAACGCTTTACCTATCTAACATTTGATTAACAGCTGTTAATATTTACAACATTTGAGATAACAGAAAGTACTACATAATTTGATTAGATTGTACATGTTTAACTTATTATTAAGCCCCCCAGTGGCACAGCGGTATGTCTGCAGACTTACAATGCTAGAATCCGGGTTTCGATACTCGTGGTGGGCAGAGCACAGATAGCCCATTGTGTAGCTTTGTGCTTAATTACAAACAAACTTATTATTAAATGCTCACAAGTACTACTAGTAGTAGTACCAATTGTACTGCGATAATACTGAATAAGAAAACGTTAAGCAAGTTAACATAGCCTAAAGTAAAGGCTAAAGTAACTCGCTGTTTAAGAGACCACTGCAATGATACTAGGTAATAATATTAGAAAATAATAATACTGAATAGCAGCAAAACTGTAGGAATGCCATGAACTAGGTTTAAAATTTACATTTCTAAACATATAGATTAAACTCAAAATTGAGATAAGCCTAACTTTGTTTTGGAAATACTTTTGTTTTATAAATGTCGCTTAGCGTTATATTTTACGTTAGGCCTAATAGTTAGGCTTTACAGTTAGTAGTAATAATGCATCATATCCTTTACCTAACAAACAAAAAATCAAAATTACTAACTTTTGATTTATTGGCCTTATTTGTCTCTTTTTCAGATTTTGCATACTTCGTTGGAAGTAACTTAGTACAAATACACTTTTGTTAAATTATGAAAAAATCGAGTAGGTCCTCTAAATCATGAAAAATAAGTTGAATATCTCCAACAGGACCAACAGTTACAAATAAATGGCGTGTTTACCCCGCCAATACACACGTGACATCTTAAATTTTGCAATGGCCTAAGTTTAAGAGCAATAATAAAAATACTATAAAATAGCCAGAGTGACAAAAGTTTTTATTATAACTAAATATTATATAAAAACTTATGTTAATAAAGCCACTTTAAGTTTATTTGTTTTTTCTTGTTCAAGCTGAATTCACCGAGAATACATGACTTGTGACAGATATTGGCTTTCTTTACCTGACAAAATAGCTCTTGATTACCTCATAGAATTTACATTCTTCATAAAAATTCATAAAATAATATCTTGTGTTGGGGTAAGTATCTATCTATGTCTTATGTATGTTGCTTATCTGTTGTTTTTTAATATAAGTTCGTTGCTTATATTTTTTTTTCCTTCGTGAACTTACCACACAGTAAATATATATAAACTTCCAGGAGAATAGATAAATTTCATTATTTAATTTCTGTAGTGCATATTGGTGAATAAAAGACATCTTAATACTAGAAATAAACGACCTTATAAAACCAAATTTGTTATTTTTCTTTAATTGGACACTCAACGTTTCGGTGTACAGCTTCTTTAGGAGCGTTCCACTAAAACACAAACCGAAACTGCTACAGCTAAGAATAACACTATTACACTTTGACTGGACAGTCAATGATAGCGTCATAATTACTTTGTAGTAAGAAGTAATATCCTCTATATCTGTCATCTGATATTATGGGAAATGCAAATCAAATGACATCAACCGATTTTCTACACAATTAAAATTTGTTATTTTAATTAAACATGTTCGTAGTTTTTAACGGTATCTTTTAGTTAAGTATGTACTCTTTGTCGTTTGAAAGTTGTTTTATATTTACGACGTGGCGCCATCTATTAGGTTGATGTGTTTTATAATGGCTGGAGACGGCTTGAATGGGTAATGAAAAAAAACTTTAATATAAGTTTAACATAACAGCAAATGTACAACGTTTCGACAAGGTTCATTACCCATTCAAGCCGTCTCCAGCCATTATTAGTCTCAAAGTGGGTTCCTCGTTATCGAATTTGATGTGTTTTATGTTCGTTTCAAGCTAGGGCTGACTGATAAACATCTCCTATCAAGTTAGAAAAATCACGAAAATGTCCCCAAAACTCGAGCGCTTTTAAATAATAATTTTTCATTATCAGGATAAAAAGGTAGTGAATAAATGTAAGGAATCTGTTGAATTTTGAGAGCTTAAAATGTCAGTCATAGTGGCAAAGGAGTGGGTCAAAAAAGCCAAGTACAATGAAAAAATAAGTAAAAGTATACACAATGTGTCACAAGGTAAAAAAACAAAAAAAAACTATTGTTAAATGTTTCTTATGCAATTGACATAGTTGATTATCTGAAATGCAAAT